GGAGGGTATGGGAGGGGGGAAATGAGCTGATATCAAAGGCTCAAGTAGAATGACAATGTTTTGAAAATGATGATGGTCAAATATGCTTGACACAATGGATGGATGTATGGATTGTGATAAGAGCTGTATGAACCCCCAATAAAATGACTTTTATGTAAGTAAATAAATTCATTTTATTGGGGCCTCCTTCAGCTTTCATAACGTTCCATACATCAATTGTATCAAGCATAGGTTGCCATCATCATTTTCTAAACACTGACTTTCTATTTGAGCCCTTGATGATATCCTTTTCCAAATTATTCCACCACCATTAACATAAACTCCATGTCCCCTAAGCAACAACTCTCCTCCTTCACCCCTGGTAACCATTGGTCAAGTTTTTTTTCCTTTTTTAGTTTTCTTAATATAATATTCACATATCATACATCCCATAGTTGAGTCATTTAAATGAAGACTTGTATAGATACCATCACAATCAGTTCTAGTGCTCCCTCCACCCTCCTACACTCATTGTTTGCTCCCTAAATCCCCTCTCCCTCCCCACCCCAATCCTGATAAACCATTACATCAGTTATTGTCTCTATGCATCCACTCCTTCTGAGCCTCATAAATTGGGAAAACTAACATAAACAATGAAAATGAAACCAACATGAAACAGAAAGAAAATAATAATAATAATAATGTAGAGATAAAAATCAACACAAAGACTAGAAAGAAAAGACCACCAGCAATGTTACAAAAGCCAGAGAAGAAATTTCTGTCATGGAACAAGTGAGAAATACTTGAGCCTAGAGCAAATTCAGGTCAAGAGGGAGGTCATCTGACCAAGTATATTATGCCATGGTTCAATTCACCATAATCAAGTGTGTAATAATCTCTCTCTGATCCTTGCCTGTGGCCAGAGGGGATCTGTCAGAGGCTTAATATGACTAAATACTCTGCAGATGGATTTGGGACTCCTACTATTCTCCATAAGTGATCAAGTGGGAGGTTTCCCTTGATCATATTGGGATTTTGTTATCATCATCATTGGATCACACAGGCTGGTGTGCTTCTTGGATGTGGATTTAGTTGATGCTTCACTTAGATGGCTGTTGGTTTGAATACAAGCCTGTAAGACTCCAGACACGATTCCAATTGATAGCCCGGCACTGTATGCTTTCTTCACTACATTTTTCTGTAGCATCCTTATCTTCAGTGATCTGTTCATGAAATGAGTATCAAGCAGGGGCATGTTATAAGAATTAAGTGTTCTTGGATCGGGGCTAGAATTAAGTGGGAGACCAGAATCCATCTACTTGTCCAAGTGTTCATGATCAACTCTTGTTTACAAACATAAAAACCAAAACCAA